CCCAAGTCATAACTCAATATTTGAGCAACAATGGCATCATGCATCAAACTAGTTGTGTTGGCACACCTCAACAAAATGGTATTGCCGAGAGAAAAAATCGAGATCTTCTTGAAAAAACTAGGTCATTGATGTTCCAAATGAATGTACCTAAACGTTTTTGGTCTCAAAGTGTTATGGCAGCAACTTACTTGATCAACAGGTTACCTAACAGGGTTTTGGGGTTCAAATCACCAATGGAAATTGTCAAAAACAGAAAGGTAGACTTGTCACACCTTAAGGTCTTTGGATGCATTTGTTTTGTCCATGTTCAGTCCTTGCATCGAGACAAACTAGACCCGAGGGCAACCAAATGCATTTTCCTTGGTTACTCATCCACACAAAAGGGATATAAATGCTACAATCCACAACTTAAGAGGTTAATTGTTTCTAAGGATGTTAGATTTCATGAAACTAACCCTTATTACATCAAATCTCTGGATAGTACAAGTGAGGGGGAGTATTGCTTGGATCTGTTTCCATTGCCAAGAACTGAAATCCTTGTCATTGAAGTCACTCAACCTGATGCAATGGTGCCTGTTCATTACACAAAGTTCCCTGCTGAAAATGACAACCAAGCCTCAAGTAATGAGACCAACATTTCCGCTGAAAATGAATCTCTCCACAGTATTGCTCCTGAGGAATCATCCTACGAGTTGCAATCAACTACGCCTCGACGCAATCCTATTCGTGAAAGACATCCTCCAGCAAGACTGCAAGACTTTGTCACTTACAAGCCAAGGCATCCACTGTCCAACTACGTGTCCTATCACAAACTGTCACCTAAACACACTGCCTTCCTGTGTACTATATCTGAGCATGTTGAGCCTTAGTCATTTCAAGAAGCTAATCAATCACCAGTTTGGCAACAAGCTATGCAAGATGAACTGCAGGCACTTGATCAACATAAAACCTGGAGCATTGAGACACTGCATAAGGGAAAGAAGACAGTAGGTTGCAAGTGGATATACAAGGTTAAATTCAACTCAGATGGGTCCATAGAAAGACACAAGGCAAGATTAGTGGCTCGTGGCTTTACTCAAACATTTGATGTGGACTACAAAGAAACATTTGCTCCTGTTGCAAAGATGAACTCTGTAAGAGTACTCCTTTCAGTTGCTGTTACCAAAGGGTGGCCTATGTATCAAATGGACGTAAAGAACGCTTTTTTACATGGTGAGCTTGAAGAAGAAGTCTACATGAGGTTACCCCCAGGTCATCCTCAAAGTCATGAACCTGATATTGTGTGCAGATTGCACAAATCAATTTATGGTCTTAAACAGTCACCAAGAGCTTGGTATGCCAAGCTCAGTTCCGTCCTCACAACAGTTGGTTTTAAAAGAAGCAACGTAGACTCTTCATTATTCGTGCGCACTGGCACTGCTGGGAAATTGGTTGTTCTTGTCTATGTCGATGATTTGATCGTCACAGGAGATAACATGGACGAAATAACTAAGCTTAAGAATTCACTACAACAACGTTTTGCAATCAAAGATCTTGGCATACTCAGATATTTTCTTGGCATCGAAATGGCTACCTCTCACAAGGGTTTCTTTCTCAGCCAACGGAAATATGTTCTGGATCTTCTCAAGGAACCAAACATGAGCGATGCTAAACCTGTCCATACACCTCTTGACACGAAACTCAAACTTAGCTTGGAGGCGCAACCACTTCCAAACATCAGCTATTATCAGCGTTTTGTTGGTAAGCTGATCTACTTGACTATTACAAGGCCTGACATAGCCTATTCAGTAAGCATTGCTAGCCAATTTATGCACTCTCCCACGATGGAGTATTTTAATCTTGTCAAACGACTACTTCGGTACCTAAAAGGTTCAGTAGGTCGTGGCATCATCATGAAGAAGAATGAGAGTGCTGAGATCATCGGTTATTGTGATGCTAATTGGGCTGGTAACTCTATTGATCGTAAGTCTACAACGGGGTATTACACATTTGTGGGAGGCAACCTTGTTACCTGGAAAAGTAAAAAACAAGCAGTTGTTGCAAGATCCAGCACTGAGGCTGAATATCGAGCCATGACATCTACTGCATGTGAACTAATATGGCTGAAAGGTTTGCTATGCGACTTAGGTGTCTTTACTCCTCAGTCTATGTCTCTTTTCTGTGATAACCAGGCAGCAATGCACATTGCTTCCAACCCCGTCTTCCACGAGATAACCAAGCACATCGAAGTTGATTGTCACTATGTTCGTGCACAAGTCCAATCACAGGTCATCAAAACTCATTTTGTCAAGAGCTACGATCAACTCGCAGACCTATTCACTAAACCTTTAGCATCTCCTCAATTTCAGCGACTTCTCGGCAAGCTTGGATCCATCAACCTTCTGGATCCAGCTTGAGGGGGAGTATTGAAAGTCCTCTGGGTATTTAGGGTCTCACTGGATTAGGGTTTCTCGGTATTATCTGTGTAATAGGGTTTGTGTCAACCCTAGTAGTGTTTTACCTAGTTAATAGCCGTTTGTTTTCTTCTTGTTGTTCTCAACTTGTATAAGGGTCTTATCTGGTTGTCATCTCCTTAATCCAAGGAGCTTAGTTATGTTCCCTATGCCGGCTTCACAGCGTGATTCAAGGAAGTCCTAGGTTAGGGTCTTGAGTGTTGAGTGTAGTTTGCAACTCACTCAAACTCCTCTATATATTTGTTTCTTGTGTTTTGTTCTCAGTACGATGAATCAATACAAATATTGAAACTTTAAAAGTCAACACAAAAATTGTCAGATCACCTTTTCAGCGTGGTGAAAAAGCCCAACGAATCTATCCAGTACTACGTTCAGTGCTTAGAGACTAAAAAGGCTAAGATTTTCAGCTGCGATGAAACAGTCGCTTAGACAGCTTTCAAGAGAGGACCGCCAGTAGGTTATCACTCTGTAGAGACATTACCACGACCCCAAAGCAAACCTTAGCTAAGCATTTTAACTTAGCAAAGGGTCATGCGATTTGGGACGATAAGAAACGAGCAAGAAAGGCACCCAATTCAATCACGAAGTAGAAACCATCCAAGAAAGAAGACGACTACAAAAGCTCCATCAAGGTAGAGGGCGGAAGGAAGCAAAAACGACGTTCCACATTATACGATAGTTCTTCCAAGAGGACTTATACTAAGTTCAACGTCCATATCCACAACACATTCAAGAAAGCACAGCCTCTGGGGGGCAAGAAGGATTAGATGAAGTGTTGTGTCTTTCATAAGGCTACCGACCACCTGACAAACGAATGTATAGACTGGAAGAACCATCTCCAAAAGTTGGTTAAGTAGCAAAGATGTAAGGCGAAGTGGCACAGAAAGTCATCCGGACTAATTCGATCATTGCCGAATTTGAGCAACTTGCTTATATTGCCAAGGAGAAAATGAGAAAGATCCACCAAGCTAAGCTAATGTCTAGGTGTAGGCTAGTGATCTGGAAGACAACCAACTCAATAGATTTTCCAAGATCACGTCAAAGTCAACCAACCTCACAACGATGCATTCATCATCAGTATCCAGATTGCTTGTCCGAAAGTAGATCGCATGCATGCAGATAAAGGAAATGCCGCCAAATTCTTTCAACTCTTCATCGTTAAGAAACTTGGCATGAAGAAGATTATCACTAAGAAGTCGAGTCTGCTATCTGGTTGTAATGGTGCCACCTGTACCACCGTTGACACCATTGAGCTCGACGACTACACACCTCTTATCGTCAACCCTCAGAAGTTTGCAATCATCGATGAACCATCGCTCTACAATAACATATTGAGCAAGCCATAGACGTACAAGATCACCACCCAGACTTCAAGCAAATGTCAGAAGATTTGATTTCCCATCCTCAGTGGCGGAGTAGGTGACATCCGGCCTGATCAAGCCATGACCAAGAGGTGCGCAGTCCAATGACTCGAGGAGAAAGAGTTCACCCAATCAACATAAACTGAGGACAACATGAAGACTCCAGACAACTCTAACTATGATCAAGCAAGCGAACTCCTACTAGACTCCACGGCAGAGGAATAAGGATGGAAGCCATAAGAGCATGCCATACATGTCATACTTGATCCAGGTCGCCTTAAAAGGAAGGAGAGGATAGTCAGGCTCAGCACATGGAAGAACAATGAACTCACTGCGTTTCATTAGGAAAACAAAGACGTGTTCTCATGGTTCCCTTTAGACATCTGCTGCAAGCTGCACGTAGATCCGAACTTCAAGCCCGTGGCTTGAATGTACAACATGAAGTTGTATTTCACTAATAGTGCATTCAGAGTCTCCTCAGACAGAATCTTGGCTACTTAGTCACCCAACACGGAATCGAAGCTCATCTGAAGTAAATGAAAGCCATCCACAAGCAGCAGCCCTAAATCGTTCTCTAAGTCTACCGAGGAGATTCATAGCCTTACTGGTAGAGCGGTCTTCATAAATCGTTTTCTATCCGGGTCTACTGATCGCTGCAGACCATTTTCAGGGTTCTCAAGAAGGGCCGAACAAAAATGGGATGAGAAGTGCGAACGGGCATTCTAAGACTTGAAAAGTACTTGTCGCAACCTCTTCTCATTTCCAAGCCTCATACAAACGAATATCTCTATCTATTCTTAGCTGTTTCAGATTCAGCAGTCAGCTCTATTGTAACACCCCAGAAAAATTTCGGGTTTTGGGGTGCTATCAATCTTTGTAGGTCAATAACTCAAGGTCTTCGCGCGCAATACTAATTAGGAAAGCCCATTGAAACTACCTAGTAGGACCACATTGACGAATTTACTACATAATATAGTCTAATTGTATTCCTTTTCATTTGTAAGTGAGAGGTTTTACGTTTGATTCTCGTCAAAGACGACTTTAAACCACATTATTGCTAGCTCATTGTAAAACTTAACCCACCTACCCCTTAATGCAAATAATATCGCTTGTTAAAAAAATGGTAAAATAAAATATTGCCTACGTAAAATAGCAAAAGCAAGAAGAAAAAGAAGGAAACAAGGAGTAAAGTCAAATGATTTGCCACATACTACATAGAAAACATAGAAAACCCACATGTTACATAGATTATACACTTCCCACATGTTTACATAGATTTGAACAAAGAGGAGTGCAGAAGAGAACACGGAGTCTGAAAGTCAATACCCAATGTGAACAATTATAACAATTCTACAGTGCTTGCATGTTATTTAAACACAAATAAAACATAACATGGAAGTAAATTGATGAAGCACCATGGCCTTAGGTTGGAAGCTTGTTGAGCCAATTTAGGTTGATATCTTCTTTGATCACCTTTATGTGTACGTTTGTGAGAAATGGTAAGAAGGGTTCCCATAAAGTTTTTGTCTCTTCATCGCATATCACTTCGTTCAACTGCTCAAGATCCATAACAGACGCAGGCAGCTCTTTCAGTCTTGAACATCGGCTCACGTTGATCTTTTCCACGCTGCACATTGCACCAATGTCCTCGGGCAACTCCTTTATGCTAAAGCAATCGGATATGTCAAGAAATTTCAAAACTTTCAGGTTCCTAATCGAGCCTGGCAACTTTAACAACTCTGCACATGACCTAAGCCTCAACACTTCAAGATTGACTAGCTTTCCGACGTCTGCAGGCAAGGCAGATAGCTTATGACAGTTGGTGATGCTAAGTTTCTTAAGGTGAACAAGGTCACAAAGGTTGTCAGGAAATTGCACCAGATCATGGCAATAATCCATGTTCAATTCCACTAGATTTGGCAGTGCATCTAAAATTTGGCCGAAACCTTGGCCGATATCACACATGAAAAAAGATATCTTTTGCAAGCTTTTCAACTGTTTAAGGACCTTGCTTATGCGAGGAATTGAAATATGTTCTAATCTAATTCTCTTAAGATTTGATAGCGAACCAAGTAGTTCAAAATTATCTAGTTCAGCAGGTAACAAACCGTCATTTTTTAGTATTAGAACCTTTAGTTTATCCATTTTCTCCATAAACTCAGGTAAGGCATAGTTTTTTGTTTGAAAATTCAGAACTAGAACCTCTGCTTCGGGTACTTGCATGTTTGGCCATTTTGCTGAGAAGGCTCCATCTGCAAACAATAAGCTTTAAGATGTTAGCGTGGGTTGAACTTAAATGTGTCAAAGTCCGATTGAAGTCTTAGTATGAATGAGCATGTGTGTGTGTGTGCACCCAAGCGTGTCCCGAGCGCACATGCATAAATATTTACTAAAGAGAGATTGTTGGAACCTGTTGAGATAGATAATAGTCGAGCCTTGATCGCTTCACACTTTTGTTCTATCAACCACTTAGGAAGTTTGTCCCCACATATGTTTATAAATAGTCGTTCCCTATGTTCTAATGGGCCTTGACTCGCCTGATGGATCGCCAACTCTCTAAGCATGTCGTGCTGGGTGACAAAGTGTTCAGTGTAATAGCCATCCGCCTCCCTCTCATGCCTGGATGATCAATATTAATTTCTTTACTGATTTGTTCAGCATACATATTGAAATAGAAAATTATGACCAGCCTGCGTACCTTGTGACAACAAGATTAGCTAAACTTCGGGCGGTAAGCTCGTGAAGGTTGGCAATGGTCAGAATTTCTTCATCTAGACCATATAACTCTGCCCACATATCAATGAGGGCGGCAACAGCAATTCTTTGGTCCTCCGGAAAAGAACCTAGATCGAGGAAACATTCCTTGATGATAGGTTTTTCTTTATCCAAGGCATCTAAACTGCTTTGGAGGCAAGCAAGCAATTCCTTGTCAGAATCAAGAATAGACGAACCTTTGCACCATTCCACTACTCTTTTGTGCCAGATTTCGATAGGCTGGCCGCGAAGTGATCTCCCGACCAATGCAATGGCAAGTGGGCATCCCTTACAGCGCTTGATAATCTGCAATTTAATTATCCAAAATGAATTCAATTACTATTATTTGATTATATTGTTGAAAATCATCTAAATGGTTTCATAAAGATGATAAAATTGTAAATTGTCTACTCTTTCATTCTTCTTTCTTCGTTCTTCACAGTTCATTAACGTGTGTGGATGCTCAGACGTTATTTCTTTACCCTCTTCTGAGGCATTAATATATGTGCATAGCGGACTAAGAAATCACCTTTCTCGAAAGATCTTCGTAAGTATAAGAGTTCTTATCCTCCAAGGATGCCGAGTAGTGAAAAAGGACCATTGCATCTTCATCACTCAATGATGCCAAACGATAAGGAGAACCGAATCTTGGAAATGCAAATCTAGATGTGACCAAAATCTTGTAATTTGAAAACTTTAATTGATCAAACTTCTCAAGAAGGGACTCTGATCCCGACCAAACATCATCCAGCACAAATAATAGAGGATTTTGTCTTGATTCCTTCAGAAATTGTTGCAAACAGTTAGCTACCATGACTTCGTTTTGGAAAGCAGGCGGCTCGGACCCCTTCTGTTGATACAGTTCATGTACAATAAGGTCCAAGCTGGGCTTCTTCGAGACATTGACAAAGAAGATGTTGTTCTTGAATGTATCTATCCAAACAGAATGTAAGAAAGGTGTTAATAAAAGGTTAACTAGATATGTCTGCAATTCTCAGATCAAGAAAGTAATCAAGCAGGGAGCTCATTGCAGGATTTGTTAACTCTACGAGGAAGGAATCAACTTATCACTAGGAAGTAAAACTTCACCAAAAAAAAGTTGAAATCATAGATAGCATACCTTTGACTTCTTGATCCTGACAAAACTTTTTAGCCAAGGTGGTTTTCCCACACCCTCCAGCAGCAGTCAGCACAAGCATAGACACCTTTTCATCCTTGAGGAGCTTCATCTTCAACTCCTTCAACGGCACATCCAACCCGACTGTAACCGATGGCGCTTCAGGCACCCTAGGCGAACATGTAACTATTTCAGGCTGATTAGTTTTCATCTTCAAACTCTCTTCTACTCGAGAGAGCACCTTCTCGATAATCCTGAGAGAAGCCAAAGTCTCCCTCGCATCCCTCGTACCCTGCAGTTTAAGCACATCAAACAATCTTCGAAGAGATTTGTCCAGTTGACGAAGCTTTTTGGCGTATTTGTATGTTCTCCACACGGCAACTTTGCTGCACCTCTGAAGACGATTTTTGCTGCACTTGTGAACAAGATTTGCCCCCTCCTCCATCTGTAGTGCAAAATTTTGCAGCCCCTCTTCGGGGCTAGATTTTTCGATGTCTACGATGAGTGGTTGTAGAGAGTCTAGCGTGGATTTGATGACTCGGAGGCGGCGTCGGAACATTTTATTCTCCTGGTGCGCTGCTTTTACAGCGTCAAACAGCGTTTGAAATGGCGTTCTGAGAGCACCTATTCCGGGTGAAGCTAGAGACATACTTAGCAAAACAAGGAGACTCAGAACTCAACTCAATTTGGTAATCTGTTCCTGGCTGAAGAAACAAGAACAGAAAGTCGAATGGGACACACGGAGAGGGAGTATAATAATCTAAGTTTGCTCAGAAACTGAGAATGTTATGTAAGCTTTTGTTAGTTCCAGCTGTCCGTTGGTTGGTTTCAGCACACATATATATATATATACCCAAGAAGCGAGGAAAGACACTTGCAGGAGGCGAGAAGAGACGCCGAATTTTCCACCACACAGTGCCTTGGGCTTTTAAAAAATGTCAAAAGTAAGCGTTCCATAAATTCTTATATAAAATGACAGTGACTATTAAATAATTAAAAAAAATTACCATGTTTGAATAAAAAATTAACTTACTTTTTTTTTAATAATCTTCCATTTTTATTAATGGGAAAATTCTAATAATTTTACCTTAAATCTTTCGGCTTCGCAGAAACCCCCTTTTCCGCCGCCGCCGCCGCCGTCTCCTACTTTTACCTACGATCTAGGTCTGGGTTCCTTCCTTCCGCCGCCGCCGCGACCTCTCAGCCCAAGGCACAATCCTAACCACCCAATCTCTCTCTGTCATCCCGTTTCCCCATAGCCATTCCCAAATATTTGAATTTCTCATGGGATCTACGGCTCCAAATTATCGCTAGCTAGGAGCTCCAATGTCCGATCTCCATAACCCAGACGGATCAGACCACAACGACGCCAGTTGAAGTCCGAAACTCAATGGATTCGTCGCATGCAGTCTCGCTCACCTTCCCTCTTCCACACAAAGCCCAAATTTCATTTTCCTTCTTGTTTCTTTCTATAAACCATCAATCTCTCTCTTTGTTCCCATGTGAGCACTGTAAGATCAAGATTTAAAGAAAACTCAGCAGAAAACGAGCAGAGCATACTCTAATTCATTCAAGGAATTATGGCTTATTGTTGATTTCTCCAGGTAATTGAAGGTCGACAACCTTCAATTTGAAGGACGATAAGGAGAGAGGGGAAAGGAAAAGGGCAGATACTGGCTGTAATAATTAAAAAATAAAACTAATGAAGAGGGTATAATTGTTATTATAAAAATTTCATTCAACTTTAAGAACTAATGAAAATAGCTTAAAAAGTTTTAGTTTTAATAAAAAATTATGTTATAAGTTTTGTTTAATAATTAGTACAAAGTACATATTAAAGTAGTTGAACTAAAAATGGCTTAACTATAATAAATTATGATTTGTCATTTTTACCCCTAATTTTTTTAAGTTGAGTTCCAGATTTTCGTCATTAATGGAGTTCATCGTTGTTTTGCAGACCTTCTTCTTTTTCTTTGAAACAAAAATATAAATCCTCATGCTATTTAATTTATATTTTGTATTATTTCGTTGAAATATGATCGTCATTATTATTCATAATGTATTCAAGGTACTGTTTTTCAATTTTTCTTTGTTAGTGAAGTTCATCGTTTATTTCTCTAGAAAATAAATTTGCTATCTGTATGTTATTCAATAATAACGACGGGTCACTGTTTTTGGACTGTAAAAATAAACTGTTTCTGGAATTTAAGTCACTAGAATCTAAGTTACTGTTTCTGAAATCTAAGTCATTGTTTCTGAATCCAAATGAAATAGACACATTGTTTCTTAAATGTAAGCTAGAAAAGAAATAGTGAAATTCATTGTATTTGGATTCAAAGCAAAATAAGCATCATGTTTCTTAAATATAATCAACTGATACATGAAAGAAAAGAAACAATCAAAGGTTAAAACATAGACTGTTTCTGGAATCTAAGTAACTGTTTCTGAAATTTAGGTCACTGTTTCTGGATTTTGGTTCTTTTCTTTCCAGATACAGTGTTTGTTTGTGCACAGACAAAACAAACACTGTATCTGAATTATTTTTTTTTTCCAGAAACAGTGTTATGTTTTAGATTCTCCATAAACAGTTTTATGTTTTGATTTTTTTTTTTTTTCCCCAAACACTTTTTCGCTGGTTTCTGCCATTAAAATTCTTTGAATTTGTTTCGGCGGCTTTGTTCCGATGAATGCTTCCTTGTTGAACTTTGATTTGGTAAGCCTATATTACAGTAGTACATTTCCCAGATGAAAGAATGCCTAATGCCTATGCATTTGCACTTTCAGCATTAACCTTTACATTCAAGGGGTCTTTTTATACCAGAAAGTTATTCTATCACATTAACCGTTTCCAGAATAAGAAGCCAAGTAAAAAGAGAAATAAATAAATTGAGGGGAAAGGAATACAAATGGTGGCACTATTTCAGAAAGTAATGAAGTCTCAAGAAAAATCAAAATACACATGCTTCCTTCACACAACCAAAAAACACATCGTTGAATGCGTATGAAATGCATATCTAATATTTTTCTTCCAAATTGCTCATAATTTTGGGTGCACCTTATGTTTAGTCCTGATCTAACAAGAACCTAAGATAAAGACCTAAGTTAAGATTATGAATCTCATCTATTTACAGACGCCTGACATGTACGTACATCACTGGGACCGTAGGTCCTTATTGGATATGATTGGAATAAAATACTAACACTATAAATTGTTTGTGGTGCAGATAAGAGGATGAGGACGATGACGAGGAAGAGGAGGATAAGGGCACAAAAAAGGTATACAATAGTTTTGGATGGTTTTTTATTAAACTTTCAGCCCTTTTGGTTAAATAACATTTTAGGATGATTTTTTCTTAAATATTTGTTGGCCCAAACCCTTTTCATTAAAACTCCCTAAACTTTACCGTTCACCCTTTTTTTTTGGGTAGAAACTGGAAATTTATTACTAAGGCAAAAGCCAAATGAGAGGTTATATTCACACTTCAAATTACTTTTCTCATTCTTTAATTTTTTAAATATTTTTTACACACCACAAACATTTGATAGAAAAATATTAAAAAATTAAAAAGGTATAGGATAAGTAATTTGAGGTGTGTGAATATAATCTTCCAAGCCAATAAAGTACATATGTCACATCCCAGACAGGCTCCACCGTAGCATGATATTGTTCGTTTTGGGCCCCGACCACGCCCTCACGATTTTGTTCATGGGGACTCACACGAGAACTTCTCAGTGGGTCACTCATCCTGGGAATGCTCTAACCCGAACTCGCTTAACTTAGGAGTTCCGATGGAACTTGAAGCTAGTGAGTTCCCAAAAGGCTTCGTGCTATATGGAGTTGGGCATGTACATATAAGGCACATCACCCCCTCTTCGTTGGTCGATGTGGGATGTCACAATCTACCCTTCTTAGGGGTCCGACGTCCTCGTTGGCACACTCGCATCACATGGCAGAGTGGCTTTGATACTATTCTGTCACATCCCAGTCTCGACTCAGCTATAACACGATATTGTTTGCTTTGGGCTTCGACCACGTCCTCATGGTTTTGTTTTTAGGAACTCACATGAGAACTTCCAAGTGGGTCACCCATCCTAGGATTGCTCTCGTCCGAACATAGAAATTAGACAGTGAGACTAACGGAAAGCATAACTAACAAACAAACATAGGAGGTTGTGAGAGTACTAGACGTTGCACTAAGTGTCTAACGTCACCCCCACAACACCCCTAAAAAACTAGCTAGACGGCGAACAAGGCAAGTCGTTCTTGTCGAGAATTTTGAGAAGCATCTCCTACCCTGCTTTTGCTTTTTTCTTGGGATAATACTAGAGAGATTAAGTTTGGAGACATAATTTTAGAAACTAAAGAATATGGAAGTTGATTATTGATTTATTACTAAAACGTTGATAAAAGTGTTCATTCCTATTGGTGAGACATCTTTTTTTTTATATTTAATATATTTTCTTTTTAACAAATGATAGTATCTACATTAAGGGGAGGAGGTGATCATAACTTTACAATGGGCCATCAATAATGTAGTAAAAATATACTTTTGACGATAATCGAACCTAAGATTATTACAAGTGAAGAGAAATACCACTAAACTGTAGTATTAAGTGGTTGGTGAGGCATGTGAGTAATGGGTGATTTTGAGGGGGGGGGGAAGGTTTAAATCATTTACCAAAACATCTAATAAGTTGTTTTTTAAATAATTTCAACAACCTCACCCCCAAAATGGTACTGTTTTTTAAATAATTTCAACAACCTCACCCCCAAAATGGTACTCAATTAGAGCCTCTCTAATAAAAGATGCAAAATGTCCAGAAATGAACAATTTATATATATTTTTTGTTGGAAGCTCTCTAATGATTAATGTAATACGTAAATAGAAATGTATATTTATATATTTAGGAGGTGGAATATACTGATCAGAGAGAGGCCAAAACTAATAAAATTTTGAATTTACATTCTTTTCGTTGAAGTAGAACTCATGTTTACACTTCTCAGAGATACTCTTATTAAAAATGTACTACAAAAAAACATTATACATGAACCACTCAGGACTTACAAAATTCCTACTAAAATTATTACAAATGAATTACCAAGACGTAGATATACAATTATTTTTGCTTTATGTTTTGTTAGTAAAACTCGAAAGCATGGCTCTTAGAATACTAATATATAAGAAACTACTACTAGCGCCTTTTTCCTTTCCCTTGCCAAAATTTCAATCTCCAAAATTATAGCTTACAGGCCTTTGCTCCAGCTTGTGGCCCCTGGTAGCCCCTCCCCCTTCTCCTAGTCTTTACTATTTTTCTCTTCTCATGGTTTGGCATAGATTTAGTTTTGTTTTAGTTTTTCTGTCAATAAGAGGCTTCTTGGTGTGGATATTGTGAGTCTCTCCTGGTGAGTATTTTATTTTATTTTTACTGGTGTGTTATTGGCTCCTCTATGGTTTACTTTGTTGTTCTTGGTAGCTTCAGTGATGGTGTTGATAACAACATCAACATAGGCATACACTAGTTGTTTCGTTACCAGTTCTTCTTCGAGTCGGCATTGCTTATTGTCAAATAGTGTCTTCATGTTCATTATATTGCAATTTTTTGCGTATTATTCGCGAATTGTTTGACAATTTCACCATGCATGAAGTTTCTTTAGCTTTGGAGCTCCATCTTAGTCTTTCGAGTTTGAGTTTGGATTACTTCAAGATTTGGATGCGTTTCTTTGCTTATTATCATGTCTGTTTCATTCTTAGATCCATCATTGTTGTGGCAATTAGTTTAGCCCAGTTAGCCTTTAGAAAATTTAGGGATTGTTTTCTAATCATTTCATTTTCAGTTTTGGTTTGCACTTATTGTGAGGCTAATTGAAAATTGAAAGCCACGAGACCGATTGATTAACTGAAAGTTATGAGGCTGATTGATTACCATTTCATCTTCAATTTTTAACTTTTTTTTTTGTCAAATTTAAAAACAATTACCCAACATATTTAAATATTTAAATCTTTTTGTGACTTTTAGCTTTTAAATTAAACTAAAATCCAGAATAGAAAAACTAAATAATTATCAAACATATTTTAATATTTCATGTCCGCGTTTGTTGGAGTTACCGTGTCATTTGGTAGGACTTTCGGTTTAACGCGCAAAACGGGGTCAAGAAAATGGGAACTGGATCTCTCCGGATTCAAAAGAATCTGAGCTTACTAATTAATGAATCTCGACTATTGAAATTTGATCTAATAATTATAATTTTTAAAATAATGTTCTATTTGTACTCGTTAAATCAAATTTCAATAGTCCAAATTAATTGATTAATGAACTCAAATTCGTGTGGTTCGGCAGGAATCAGTTCCAAGAAAATGGTAGGGTATTCAATTGAAAAGTTGTCCTGACAACGACGACCAAGACAACAACAACCACAAAAATATTATTCATAACGAAAGCGTGTTGACGGTCCTGTAGTGGGTGACCTCAACCAACCTTTGACCTGTTCTCTTTTGATGATTCCATTCCCAACTTCGAAGAAATTGTAAAAGAAAACCAAATGTTAAACTACCATGCAACTACCTTTAAGGTTCTTACTGTTGAATATTTTAATAATACATTAATTGGAAGAAGTTGGGTATTTGCCTAACAGTTGCCCTTCATCACATCAAAGGAAAAGTCATACGTTCGTGTG